ATTCCTTTAGAAACCTGCTTTTTAAGACTTGGTCACACATCAAAAAGGCACTCACTGTCAAAAGCACCCACTATGCTGCAGAAGTATGCAACCTCAAAGTATCCCTTTGACTACTTTTCTGTAGCCAGTTCTCAAAAATACCCATGCAGTTAACTATGATTGTAAACAAACTCCCCTATCACTGCTCGAATAAATTTTTTTTTTTGAAATGTATGGATTTTTACTATAGCAGAATTATAAAAACTATTCATATTTCTTACCAAGGCCAATTATGGCTTTTGTCTGTACTTCTTCATCTGAATGCTTTGTAAAATACATCAGCAGTTCAAGTACTTTATCCTTAATGTTAACCTGAGGAAATTAAAACAAAAATAAAGGTATTTGAAAATTAAACGTTTTGTAATCTCTTATAAAAAGCATAAATACAAAAAAGGAGAAACGCAATATTACAAATCTTTGCAAAACCATGTATTTACAAATCAAAAAGCTATATTGTATGCATTATGAAAAAAATACATAGCTTTGAGGGACTAGGAATACTATTCTTTCAAATTGAAGTGAAGCATTCAATATACATAAGACATTGGAGAGTAAATACAAATTATTTTACCTTACTGTTGCCCTTAAAATCTTCTTGATCAAAATCAAAATGCCGACACAACGCTCCAACAGTGAAAAGTGATCTAAGGAGTGCTGGTTTATTGGCAGTAAGTATTGTACTGTTGGGGTCTTCTTGATGTTGACTTTTTAATTTTGAAAGTGCACCTACAGTAAGATAACAGTTTTTATCATATTATTTAATCATGGTGTATCATTAAAACAAGACTTGTAGCCAAAACTGAAAAGTGACAATTACATGTTGTAGTTTTACTTACCATAGTATCTATTAAAACAGGCCCACACAAATTTATAGTTCTGGGTGACCTTGTTCACAACAGCCCCAAGACAGCTCACACAATGCTGAACAACCTAGGATCAAGAAAAAAAAATTAAAAAAAATATATATTTAGAAGTTAAAACTGAGAGTAGCTATGTATGAAAAGGCTATGTAGAACTATCAAACAGATGTAATTTTCATCTCCTACACTGCTCTGAAAACCTGGCCAAACTTATAATTGTTAAAATATAGTAACAGCACATACATTTCATGGCTCAAAAATTATCTTCATAATGAAGACAGACTTTCTTAAAAAACAAACCATGTATTTCACAATGTGAAATGGAATCAACCAAATAGTAGCAATTAAAAGCTTACCGTCATGCCATATTTGATGATGAGTTTCATGAGGTCTTCCTCAATAGTGGCAAGAAAGGTCTCACTTGGGTGCTCCATTAGTGGCACTACAAGTTCTAAGATTTTTGCAACATTGCAGATCACCATGAAATCATTCTGGGTCTGAAACAACAGTATTTATAGCATTTAACATTTCTGGCTGTGTTACCTGTAAGCTAAGTATTATCAATATGTATTATGTAATATATAGATATTAATATTACACAATACATATTTATATAATACAATTACATATTTTAAATATAATTATGTAAATATTTAAAATAATATTTATATAATTTACACCTGCTTTTAAATTGCATATTATTTTGAAAGCAAGTTCTTGTTTTCTACAGAACTTCTGGAAAAAAAATATCTGTAGAAGCAGAACTTCACTTCTCATCAAGGCTGTGACAGACCTGAAAACTTTTTGGCTTAAACAAAATAGATAATAATGCACACAAATATAGAAATTACAATTAAAATGATTACTGATTCACATTATCATGACTGTATATGTATTGTAAGTGAGGATTCTATGGGGAAAAAATTATATATTATATAAAAATATACATCCTGCTAGAAATTGACTTTTTTGACAAATCAAGCTCACTAATCACAATAGGATAATTCCCAAATGTTACTATCAAGCTATTTAACATTTTCGAGCTGACAGTGGTAATTCTATAATCCATGTCAACCTGTATAACTACAGAATGTATGTCACGCACTAAAGAGATGTTGCAGCAAGGAAATAATCAGATAATCCTTTCCTATATTGTTTGATCAAAAGCAGTTCTAAAAGTCTGTTGTAGATGGATTTAGAGAATGTTCCAGGGCTGAACCTAAGCTGATAACAAGTATTCTCAAGCCTGCCCTTCCCTGGGCAGCTGACCTAATGTAATGGACTGCTGCCACCTACCCAGCAAAGTTCTTCCTTGAGCCATGGCTGCATGATTCTGCCCTGCTCCTTCTGTCAGATCAGGGGTTCATCACAACCTTCACTGAACCAACTACGCTAATCAAAATGGCAGAAAGCAACGCAATGTTTCAGAGGAGGGGGGCCATTTTACCAGAGTGGAGGGTTTAGCATCATAGCTCTCTATAATTTCTGTGAACTAAACTGTCTTACAGGGGAATACAAAAATACCAGAGCTAGGGAAGGAAGAGGTGAAGCGCTGAAGAGGATAGAGCAAGACATTTTCCTTCTGATATATTTGCTATATGTTAGATCACTCTATCCTACAGAACCATACCTTTAGTCTTAAGATTCATATGTTAAACTAACTACTTTTAAGACTGTGACTATAAAACAAAATTAGGAAATTATTTCATAACAGGTGAAAAACTGGGTTTTAGTCCTCAAGGAAAAGAGACAGTACAGATTTCAGTTTCATTTTGCTGTAAAATGTGGAGGTAGGGGGTAAGGAACAGCATCTTAGAAGGTACAAAGATCATCAAAAGGACCTAATATATTCAGAAGATATGATACTCATGAAATAGAAACATAATTTTTATTTCTATTCCTACCTTCAGTTTCATCAAGCATACAAGACAGACATTAATTTCCATGCTTAATTATCTGGAGAAAAAAAACAACTGATTTTCTAATTTTCTACTTACACTACATTTAGTGGTCAAGTATGGCTGCATAGTCATGGCATGTTTGACCATTAGCTGGGGCCTGATTTTGCTGAATAAAAACAAAGTGGTTATGCAAGCAACCAAGCGACCAGAATTCACACCTTTGTTGTCAGAATCTGAAAAAAAATTAGAAAATTAGCAATGAAAAACACAGAGCCAAAACATATGAATATGTCTTTCATAACATATATTTCAAGATCAATACAGAATACTCTTATTAGAGATGAGAACATAATGTGTTAACATTTGTATGTGATCGCAAAATATGAGAAATAAGAAGCAAAGATGCTTCAAAGATATCACTAGTGTTTAAAGTATTACTGTACGCTGGCCCAGCCAATGATTCCTATTACAACTGTAAAACATATTAATGCAAATAAAGTTTGCCACATTTGTTTTGGTTTTAGTGATCTAAAAGTTTGAATAAGTTATTTTAAAAGCAGTTCTGTTACTGAGAGAAAAAATTAGGGTAGCTTTATTATTATTATACAGTGCTCAAAAGTTCATGATGAAAATAAATGCAAGAATTCATTGCCATTGGTTTTGTAATAGGAATTCTGTAACAGTTACTTTTTGTGATAGTAATTTGAACAACCACTGTTACAGTATCATATAAATTTCAAAGGAGCTTCTGGGTTGTAAACAATATTACCTGATAAGGATTCCTCATATTTAAGAATATGCTCAACCAAATTATCAACAAGTTGAGTACAGGCTTT